GGGCAGGCGCGAAACGGTCCTGGAGCGCCTGAATGAGAGCAGCGACTGGGCCCTGTCGGGTGGCCTGGGGCAGCGACTGGTAATAAAGCTGAGCCTCGTCGTTCAATGATATTGCCATGAACTGACTCTGCTCGGCGGGCGTCCAGGCATTGATGGTAGCCACTTGCTGAAAGTGGTTGAGCCACGTCGGCCAGCTGTCCGACAGCGAACCAGCAAATTTGTTTGGCATAATAGCGTGAGGAGGCACACGCGGGACGGCGGCAGGCGCAGCAGCAGCAGCACCAGCAGGAGCAGGTTGAGCCATGGTGACCGGAGCGCAGGTGGTGAACGAGATTCAGGACAAGAGGAACGAGGACCGCTAAGTGGACAGAGAAGCAAGCAAGTAGCGACCGAGACAGCAAGAGGACTAAAGAAGAAAGCACGTAGAGGACGAGCCACCGCTGCCACCAGTGTGATATCGGCGATATCAACAGTTCATGCACTCAAAGTCTCTCTCTCTAAACTACGATCACAATCAATGCTACGACACAGTCGCAGACTTTCACAGTTGAACTCGGGGTCGAGAGAGCCTAACTCTCGGGAACGTACTTCTCTTGGTCTGAATCACGGAAAGGCAAAGAATGATTGTGAACACTAGCAATTTATAGAGGAAGTTAGCTATCGGGGAGATCGATAAAACAGCGCAGCGGAGCAGGGAGAAGGATCGCTAGATCGAGATGGACAGCGTAGAGTACGGAATAGCTAGCCGGAGAACAGCGGGCTTTGCGGCAGTAAGATCGAGACTACGGGAAAAGACAGCGAGAACTAGCGGAAAGAATATCGAAGAGAAACAATGGAAACGTTATGTTTAGGTAGCGAATGAAGAAAGAGAAAGAGACGCCAGCGGTGTAACGGAATCCATAACTAATTGCTAAAGCAAGGGAGACAGTGTAGGAAAAGTGATATCTATTATTATGTGTGTGGACCAGACAGAGTGGCGGCAGGAGGAAGAATAAAATCTGTGAAGCATTCAGGCTATTGACTGTGGTGTGCAAAAAGCGTGTCTATCAGGCCGGCGTACAGGTTTCTATAGATGACAGGTCATGCATGCAAAGTGTCACGTGCTCCTACGCTACGGTGCGCCAATACTACACTACCACTTTAGCACTAAGTAAGTTGGAGAGCGATAGAGAGCGATAAAATGGAGCAGCGAGCCCACACAATGAGCGAGTGAACAAGGAGCTGCTCCGATCGCACGGCTCAATGAAACAAACTCTGAACTCAAGTTCTTGTTCAACCTGCGCAAAGCCCAGATTCGTATGATGATCACCATGCATTCTTTCAGGAAGTCTGCAGTCCGATGCGAGTCTCATGGCTAAAGAAAGTCGATTGGACTTGCTAGCCGCTGCCGTTCAGTGCTGGCAGGGGTATCCATTAGAGAAAATGGAATCAGTTTGGCTGTGCCTTTACTCCTCGTTTCGTGGAGTTCTGGATAGCGAAGATGAAACCAGGGAGTCGTAAAAATTAAAAATGTTTCACGACTCCCTGGTGGAAACGAGTAATCGCCATCGCGGCGGATCACGCAGCTTGAAAGCCAACTTACTTGAACGACGGCGACATCAAGGTCAGCGGAGTGTGATCAAAGAAGCCGAGGGAAGGCTGAAACGAGCGGAACAACGACTCGAGAGAGATGACGACTCGCGTGCAGCAGATGACGACGCGCGTGCAGCAGATGACGACAGCGACGCAGGTCAAAAATTGGTCTAGCGAAAGCGACGCAAACTGAACTCTCTGCTCATTCCGCCAACAGTGTCTCTTGTAAAGACGCTGTACATAGCCTGAATCACCTTCGTCCAGTGATTGGCAGTCGATACAAACTGTTCTTGACCTGTTCTAAGCGTTTTCATATCCATCAAAATCCATCACGAAGTTTTTGTTAACGGAGGAAGTACAATGATGTATCCTGTCGGGATGAGAATCTCGGCGCTTCAGGTCCTCGACACTCTGAGACTTGGCATTGCAGCCATTGTGGAAACAAGTACAATCGTCATTTGACGTCAATGGTCCTCGCTCTCGTTCTCCCCTGGCTTCCCTGGATGCAGAACTTACTGCTCCAGAATAGAGTTGAAGGCAATACTGATTGGTGTTCAGTTACTTCTACTGCGGCTGCAAGGACTGCAATTCAACAGCGGGCGTTACCGTGTGTGAATCGGCGTTATTGCTCTCCAAGCTAGGACTTTACCCAGATTGTGCCATCATGCAGGGATGTCTTGCTAAAGCTTGCACTGGTAGTCTGAGGCAAGAAGAGGTTCAATGCCAACTTTCTACATCGGAAAAGAAACGAGTAGTGACGGTGTTGGGCCCACTTGGCTGGTTTTATAATAAGGACCACATGGATGGACCTACTAACCCTCATCTACGAGTTGGTAGGTGAGGCGCTCAGCTTGGATTAGCACAAACTTAAGCGAGTACTACGACATTGTATGTAGGTGTATGGCAAAATTATACTGCCAATCTCTTGCTGTGCAGCAGCACCTTTGCTCGGTGTTTTTGGTTTTTGGACCGTCTACGCCTACGCCTCGATGTGTGCTGGAGTCCTTCATGACGTCTGCTTTGCTCCCGCCAATTGTGCATGGTTCAACACGTAACCATAGCTGTAATGCTGTTGGCAGTGTGGAGCCATGATGTACCGTAGTTCAGTTCTTAGCTGACCAGGCCAAGGATAATTGTTTTATTCCCGTAGCTATGCAAAAGACGTTACTTCAGTAACGTCTGGCGCTAGCCAGGGTCCACACAGCTTTAATTCCGTGTTTGTTTGTTTGTGCCACCGGCATGCCTGGCGCTATCCCGTACCTGTCCCGTACCGTACCATCAAGGACAGCATCGGCATGCCTGGCGCTATCCCGTACCTGTCCCGTTCCGTACCACCAAAGACAGCTGGCCACAATATTCAAATAGGGCTTTCAAATGCAAGATCATAACGTGAAGCGACTTGGAAGAATGAGTATGTATGCGAAGTGTATCGGGGGAATGCATGCCGGAGCAGGGCAATAGTGCGGGTTCGAATCGTTATATCTTGAAAATAAAATAGGAGAAATGAAAAAAATTCCCCTTTTTTTGCCTTGGTCAGCAAGGTGGCAGACGTTGTCGTAATACCCTCGAATGACAAGAGAGTTTATTTATTTCGCTCAGGGCCCTACGCTATGCTTTTTTGCCTAGCTCATCATGCATGTTATTCGAACTAATGGAAACTTTTTGCAATACAATGATGTAGCCGATCAGTTCGTTTTGGTATGGTCGGCCATTGTAGCCGTCATGGTCGACGTAGAACACTATAGCCAATCAATGGGAAAAAAAACATGTCCATCAGTTCTAATAACATGCATGAGTAGGCAAAAAAGCATAGCGTAGGGCCCTGAGCTTCCAAGCTCTCTCTCTCGTTATGCGCTGAATAGTCGATTACCACAGTACACGGAGTGTGCATGAAAGTCCACATCGACCTATGCTGCATAATACCATGCACTGCCAGAGTGACATGCACGTCTTGCTTCATTCATGCACTGATTAATAATAATATGAACAGGTCACATATTGGTTGCTCCAACGAGGAACACACGCTTCTTGCCACCACCCCACCAACTTCATGACTAATACCGTCGAAGACGCAACTTCTAAGGTCGCATATTGCCCGCATAAACAAATCATATGGAGGTCATGCATCTGTCAATGATCGTTAACCAGAGTTGCTTGTTGGTTGCGAGGTTGAGGCATTCCTGAATCGGCACATTCAGAGGCTTGAGGTGTTCTTTAATGTTGTCGACCCATCTCTTGTGGGATCGTCCATGGGGGCGCTTGATGTCCGAAGTATTGAGACATCCGCGCGAGCTTTCCTGCTCCAAGACACTGGTTGTGACCTAGCGATATTAATGCACTGATAACGGTATGAGTATAATGCCATGCATCAAACCTTAGGCTCAGTGCCAACCCACTATGCAGGCACTACGGCGATAGCAGGAGTGCTGCATGCATTTTTACCTGCTGCATGTGTGCCTTGGTCACAGTGGTGCAGTAAACTGACCATATGTAAACAGTGACCATGTGCATTAGACGTACCGCGTGATAGCGGCAGTGAGAGCTGCAGCAAATTCAGGCCGTGAGCCACTATGACCTAAACGAAGAAACCTTCCGGGGTTATTCTCCCTGTGTTCTACCATATCTTCCGGGGTGTTGGCCGCACTTGAAAACATATTCGCATCTGTGCGAGCATGCAGTGGAGTTAGCAGCAGATGAACTCGCTGAAAGTGTGCCATTGCAATGATATGTAGTGTTGGGATTTCTGAGTGTGGCCAGGCATGCAGGCATGCTTTCTCGCAATTATACAGCGCTGGGTAGCGCTGTAGCCAGTGCAGCCGTAACCGAAGTGCAGTGATTGCAAATTGCATGGCACCACTCCCAGGTGCAGTGATTACTCACTCAAATGGAGACAATTCCAATGCTTCTCTGGAGCTACATTGTGAGAGCAATACTTGCCAGCTGCATTTTGAAGACTGTTGTTTGAATGTCACTAACTTGAAAAGCAAACCTTGAATTTCAGTTGTGGCTCAAAAAGCCTATCACTAGTCTTGCTGATACTAGTCATGTGTGGGAGTTCGAATCGATTCAGGCGGGCCTTATTCAAAGTCCTTCCGACCAAAAATCCCTTCAATGAGAACTATTTCGGGGCAACAGACTGCTAAACCTTTTCCATACGCACTGTCCATGCCAAGAACATTTTCATTTGTGCCAGCTCGCTCTCGCTCTCTCTCTCTCTCTCTCTCTCGCTCTCTCTCTCTCTCTCTCGCTCTCTCTCTCTCGCGCTCTCGCTCTCTCTTTCTCTCTCTCTTTCTCTCTCTCTCTCTCTCTCTCTCTCGCTCTCTCTCGCTCTCTCTCTCTTGCGCTCTCTCTCTCTCGCTCTCTCTCGCTCTCGCTCTCTCGCTCTCTCTCTCTCTCTCTCTTTCTCTCGCTCTCTCTCTCTTTCTCAGGTTTCCAAGTTGCCCCAGCTGAGCTGGAAGCAGTACTACTACAGCACGATGGCATTGAGGACGTCGGTGTCACCGGCATCGCTGACCATCGCAGCGGGGAGGCTCCGCTGGCATTCGTAGTACGATCGTCCAGTCACGCAAACCTGACCGAGTCAGACGTGCAGGACTTTGTGGCCAGTCGCCTAGCCAAACACAAGCATCTTACGGGCGGCGTGCGCTTTGTTGACAGCATACCAAAAACCCTGAGTGGAAAGATCCTCCGCAGAGAGCTCAAGGAGATAGCTACAACAACCAGCAAGAAAAGTGTGCACCGTGTTCGGATTTGATCACGTGACGGGTTTCACTTAAAAGAATTGTTTGAAAGTAAGGTTAAAATTGAAGAGAATGCAAATTAATATTTTGCTGTATGTACATGGCAGAAAGTTCTATAGCCCAGTTCAAATGTTTCAAAAACGGTTACAGCGCAATAGCTTATTAGCTGGTTAACACCAAGATGATGCTATGAATTTCAGAACCGAAACGTACATGCTGCTGGACACTGATGTTGATGAACACAACTCATGTTTATGAAGACAGGGATTCAACCAACACTCAGCTTGCAGGTGTCAACCGCGTGTCGGGTTGCGTTTGATCTTCAGTAGCTATGTCCCGTGACGCCAATGATCGAGTATGATGATGATGATGATCTAACGATGATCATCATCATGACGGTTGATACGTGCAGCTACGCTCTCACTGCTGCTGTTCTTGATAGTGGCTGCTGCTGCATGGCTGCTGCATGGCTGCTGCATGGCTGCTGCATGGCTGCTGCATGGCTGCTTGTGTTGCTGTCAGTAAAGCTCACTCATTAGTAACACCACCAGGGCTGACCAGCCAGTAAAGGGCCGTGTTCCCTGCAACAATTATAGCAAGAGTGTGCACATTCAACATGTTCATCAATCCCTGGCAAAACCCACCATCCATCTTTGGTCTTCTGGTTACTTTTTTGGCCTTTTGTCACCATTATGTTCGTACTTCTTTCGCCTCAATTGATTTATGATTGATTACGAGTGTGCACATTATGAAATTGGTTTACTTAGTTGTCATTGACGACTATTATTTCTCACTTTGAATTGCCCCGTTTTGCATGACAATGGATCTAGCGGATTCATTGCAATTAAATTAGTGGTGAAACGAATGTCAAAACCCACTAGTCGAATATTCTTCAGCTTAACGAACGACGGAACGAATATTCTTTTGGTAACACAGATGTCATCACATGCCCTCCTCTCAGTCATTTGATGGATACTGTCAATACTAATGTATTATTAGGTATGACAAACGGTAGTGCCACGTAAAATGTACTGCCACATAAGGCTACTTCAAAGTGCATAAAATGTTATGTGCAACATTGGCAGTCCAGTATGGACACACATGTGCATGCATGCAGTACAAAGTCACCGGCAGGCTGTACGCACTGCACTGTACCGTGTTTGGCGTGCATGTATGTACAGGCATTGCATTCGAAGTGACGTAACGAATACTCGAATGTGAACGAATATTCGAATGTGACAAACCGAACGACTGTTCGAATATTCGAATATTCGTTTCACCACTACATTAAATCCATCCAAATTTTGTGATCCTGGGTCAGGAGCTGAGAACAGGCTGGGCAATGGGCTCAAAATCCAAACTTGAACCCTACGAGCAGGGTAAACGGAAAACGGAGGGGGGGGGGGCAAATTAAGGGCCGTGAAGGACCCACCGACCTGGAGTGATGCAGTGCACCACGGAAGCATCGGCTACGCATGAGCCAAATAGCCGCGAAAGACTGATGTCATAAAAAAGTTCACCCTGTGCAGCGGGATCGTCGAGTTGCACACTCTTGGTTATGTACTCTTGTTAGTGCCCATAAGCGGTTCCAGAATTCCCCTGACTCATCATTATGACTTCTTCCTATCTCTTGCATAACCTCTAAACTATAGTCCATTCATAAAAAGATGGGTCAAACTTTCAAACTTTGAACTCGGATGGCGAGCCAATTTAATTACGGTAAAAAAGGAGAAAAGAAAAACGGTTACGAGTTATGACTAACCGTTGGTGGACAGTTAGTCATAACTCGTAACATTTTGTCCTTTCTCCTTTTTTACCTTTCAAACTTTGTGAGTTTTTTTTAATCTTTTGCTCCCCATAGCCAGAGGTCGTCTTTTTAGGACGGAGTGTACATTAAAATAAAAGTCTGCTGCACTCTCACCTTTCCTTGTCCTGTCAAATCATCATACTGCTCCCAGATGAAGCCAGTTTGCTGGTATTGTTTGAAGATGTTGCTGATCAAGTTTTTCCTGAAAGATGGAGCACCGCACCACCAGCAAAGTAAGGAAATACTCAAGAAAACCGTTGCAAAAGGAAACTCTCACCAAGAGAAAATATCCGCAGACAATGTTATGTCACTTTACGGGGAAATGAAGGCGACAACAAGTACTCGTGCTCAATTGTATGCAGCCATGGGTCCAGCTGGCACGAGGAAAACATGGATGTGGCAAATGGGATTTCGGCCTTTGGCCTCTGGTTGGTGGATCTAATCTATCCTCCCCAATCGTTTAGGAGCCTCATCTAATGCCTGATCATGGGGCGGTGGCGACCCAGGGAAACGGAAAGGCGTTTCTTGACCGGCCCTGAACGCGAACCCGCGCAATTTATTTTATTTTATATTTCACAGGTACAGTGCTGGATGGCTTACACGCTTACCGTAACAGGCGATACAGTGCCCTTGCCTTGCGCTGGTGCGGGCCCTTCATCTGTCCATAGTGGTGCAGAGAGCGCACGCACAGGTAGTTGATGTTGATCCAGATGGCACCCCTCCAGTACGGCTTGTCATGCTCCGTGTTGTCCTGTGCACAGGCAAGTAACATTGAACACTGATACTATTGAGCTCCTTAAAAAATGCAACAATCTCTCTCTCCTCTTCTCCTCCATACGCTCTCAGCCGACTACTCTCTGTAGCCATTACACACACCGACAATTCAACGAAGGGGTTACGCTTAAAACATGATTCATTATTCACTAGACTTCTAGCAATGTGTTGGGCAGGTAACTCTGAGCTCCGTCGACGAGACCTAACAAGGTGGAAACCTGTAGCTGTCCACAGATTGAGTAGCAAGTAGAAGTGGAAATGACTGGTACACTCGAACAACACAACGCCGTACACTGTGAGCACCAACCAACCCTAGGTCCTCTGTTCAACTGAACAACAGTCCAGGCTTATCACACACATCACATGCAGTGCACTTTAGTTGAAGAAGGGGTACAACCAATACTTGTACACTGATACTCAGCACACTGCTCTGTATGGCAAAGTAATAGGAATTTGAAGATCGGTATTCATGATGCATTGAACGTGGAGTGATTTCCGGCAGAGATCACATCAGTGTAGAGGAGCCTATGCCAGCCATCTTACTACATTCTACAACACTGGCCAGGTTATTCAGAAATCTCTACACCTTGTGGTACAGAATATAAAGCAAGCTGTAGTGTGTAGTGTGTAGTGTGTAGTGTGACGAGTACAATGACTGTAACGAGGGGAACATGCAGAGGAGGACGGTGAAGATCATGAGAAACCGATTTCTTGCTCAGATTCGGTCGCATTAGAATGAATGGCCACGCTCTCGATGAAGGCACAACTCAATGAATTATCCAACAACAGTCTTCTGCAACCCGAGCAATTGCAAAAGCTATGAGAACTAATACAGTGTACTACTTACAGCAAGATAGAATGAGTCATTCCTGGCAACAGAACGCAGTCCAAAAGATGTCCACAAAAGCTGCAGTGAGAACACACATATGCCAGAGCAAAAATATACATGAAGGAAAGGCGTGTGAGAAGGTACATTCACTTCTAAACGTGATTTTCACACCAGCGTCGAATCCACACAGCTGCAGTAGCAGTCATCGCACAGCCAGCTGAAAACAAAAACAGATTTCCATACCACGTTGATCTAATCCAAGAATGCCTCCCTTTTCTGCGCATTCATCTTCGCAAAACACAGCCACCCAGCCAGGTCTCCACATCAAGATGCAGTTGCTAGGTGACAGCAGTAGCCACCGGAAATATGGGCTCTACCATAGCATAGTACAACAGTGTATTTCACACAACAGAGTGCACACGTTAGCAATAACATTCACTTTTCTAATTGTCCGCAAACTCCAACACATTTAGAAAACTTCACTTCTCAACTCCAAACTCCAAAAACGGTCCCTTCACTGCGATGTAATGTACATGTAAATTTGAATTTGAATCGCAGTGAAGAGACCGGTTTTGGAGTTGAGAAGTGAAGTTTCCTAAACAACATTCACCTTTGTGTTATTCAGCCTGTCCAGAATCACACCCAGCTGAGGGGAGCTAGGCTCCAGGATCTCCAGAATCAACGGGAACAGGTTGACGTAGCCAAACACTGGAACAAACCTGGAGACAGAAATAAAAGTAGACAAGACAGCTCAACGCATACGGCACACGTCTCTCAGAAAGAATACGCATGTCACCATGTTTTGCCCGATCCGGTATAACAGTTGGCATTACACTGGTGCAGTAAAGAAATCAACAACCACCGCTGTGTGGACTGCACCAGCTACTAAGCACCGGAAAGAACTACATGTAGAGCAACACCCCGACAGGGTTCACGTACGGGATTAAAAAAAAACTTCCACAGAGATTATCAGAGAATGTCAGTCATTCTCGATGGCCATACTGTGAACACCTTAACAAAAGAATTATGGGAGAATGTAATTGACCAAAATATTGCCATACCGTACTCGCGCGATTAGTGCCCCTGGGGTACTATTTTGTTCAATGTCCATCACAGATGGGGCACACTATTCAAGAGAGGGCACTATTTTTGCAATGCTGGTACATTTACGTCGTCCGGCATAAAAACAAAGAAGGCAAAGAAAAACAAAGCCTGAAGTTTGCTGTAAACTATCACTACTCAAGAGAAATTGCAACAAGAGCACCCCCCCCCCCCTCCATTCAGGCTTTGGCAGCCCTCTTTGAAAATCAAAAATGCCATTCTAATATGCACGGATCACTTTCTGGTTCATTGTTACAATTAAATAAAAAATGGCAATAGGCCTACATTACCATGATGGCGTACACCACGGTGTAACGCAGATTTGCACAATTGAATCATGCACAAACTCATCCTGCCAACCCTCTCCAATTTCACGTTGGCTACTCACTTGTTCTTGGGTGCACCAGTCACCTTGCGCACCATCTTACGAACAACACGAGGAGTACGATTTGACCGCTGCTTGCCTGAATGAGACAAGCCAGAAGATAGACAGGCAGGAAAGTCATATCCACCACAGGTATGTAAACACAAGATGCAGGCAGTGGACGCTCCGAAATTACGACAGTACCCGTAACAACAGCACAAAAGAAAGGACAACGGCAGAAACGAGATAGAGATACAGAGATAGAGACAGAGAGATGATAGAAATAAAGATATATAGATAGATAGATAGATAGATAGAGAGAGAGAGAGAGAGAGAGAGAGAGAGAGAGAGAGAGAGAGAGAGAGAGAGAGAGAGAGAGAGAGAGAGAGAGAGAGAGAGAGAGAGAGAATGATAGGGAAGACTCACCTGAATCTGGCAAGGTTTCTCTTTGCCAAATCAGTTTAGTTTGTGACACATGTTTCCCGTAATCACAGTAACTCTACACGCGCACACACACACACACACACACACACACACACACACACACACACACACACACACACACACACATAGCACCGCAAGAAAGCACACAGCAGGATATAATATACGGCTACTTGTACAGTCTATCCACAATGCACTGCTATATAGCAGACACAACGGAGTTAAGGCTAACATGAAGTAAGGAAGGAGTCTGTTGACCCTTTGAGCTTGGTCTGCCCCAGCGACATAGCCACCCTGCGTGGCCTCTACCATTAATTGTCCCTGCTCTTACCTGCTTCTTTTCCTTCACAATTCATTGGTAGGGTTGTGTTTGACGTAAAAATAAATATAACAAAGTCTCTAAAAACAGAGAGGTTCCAGGCTGTCCAATACAGTGCTCAATACCGAAAGGCAGCGCTAGTTCAAACAATAATAAGAGGATGAAAGAAATATTTAAAAAAATCTGTCTCTCTCTCACCCTGTGTTTCTCACACCAGTGTAGCTTATTCAGCATGTCATTGGCTGACAGATCCACATGCAGTTTCTGATACGCCTCGGATGGCTCTGCAGGGACAACAACCGGCCATGCGCATTGGTACAGAATTCAAGATTGAGTAAAGCATAAAAACTTACAAACACATGAAAGTTGCGTAACACGAAGTCGAGAACTATGACTCTGCCAATTTTAGATTTGAGAGACAAAATGGCACATGGATTCTACATACAGTTGGTGGGCAGATTTTGCAAAACCGAACGCAATGAAAGTTCTCATAAGCCAGCTTCACGAGTTGCTCAACCACTTCAAGAGCAACATCTTGCTTTGGGTTGTGCAATGTGAAGCATGCAGAATACAGGAGCACATCAACTCATCACATAATATCATGTACTTCTTATCTAGCCGATGACCGCTGGAACTCAGTTCCGGCATCGGTCCGCCTTGCTGCTTCACCAAGTCAATTTCGTATCGCAATCCTAGATTGGCTAGGGTACAGCGTAAGGCGACCATAGGTCTGTGGGGACTGCCCTAGAGAAATATGAATAAATACTATACTATACTACTATACTACTTGCTTACCACCAATGACCGTGGAGATATTCGCCATGATACCGGCAGCCAGAGCCATCCAGCATCGCAAGTCAACATGACGCTCATCCTCCGTCGGGTGACTACTGCGCGGGAAATCGTCAAGACCAGATGTCAAGGTCTGCACACACAAACACACGTACACACACACGTACACATGTACACACACACACACACACACACACACACACACACACACACACACCACACACACACACACACACACACACACACACACACACACACGCACACACACACATGCACACACACACACACACACACATCAACAATAGGAACAGTAGCATAGCATATGATGGCACAAAGCTCATCCGTAGCGATTCTACTTCATTCTGCTTCCTCAACTCAACACTCAACACGGTCTCTTCGCTGCATACGCCACTAAAATTAATGTGTTCTACAATGTACTTCATTCATCGGAAGATAAATTCCACTTGCTGTAAAGAACATCTACTGAAGTGTTTTTGCGCTTATCTTGAGCAAAGAGACCCAAACCTCACCTTCGGATTCAGCTCCATGTCTGTGGTGGCATTGCGCCCTCGCCAGCGATAGGAGAGCGGTACTGGACCAGCCTACAAGCCACAGCAGAGTACAGATAGAATCACACGTGCACGTGAATGGACACGCACGCACATGCACACACACAAACACACACACACATACACATACACATGCACACACACACACACACACACACACACACACACACACACACACACACACACACACACACGTGCACACAGACATAAAGACACAGTCAGTATGTAAGTAGAATCATCGCACATTTTTCTAACAAATTGGACATTCATTCATGTATTACAGAGGCATGCTACTTCCTCTGTGAATGGTCTGTAAACAATCAAAAAGGGCATCTAGAAGATGGTAGGAACCAATCACACAACAAAGAACAAAGCAAACAACAAAAGGAGCACAATGGAAATATCGAATCATTGTTACAACCAGGGCAAGTTAGACAATATGCAAAAGAAGAAGTGATAGCCGGGGTAAAACAAGGCCCACGCACATTAACGACAATTCGCGAATAACGACAGAATTTCCATTCCCAGAGCAAAGTCCCATCCCATTGTAATACATAATAATGAGACTTCGGGTATAACGACACTTCGCGAATAAGGACACCTTTTTGATGCCCCGCCGAGTGTCGTTATACGCGAAGTTGACTGTACATTTGTATCTAGTCTACGATGCTTCACCATCTTCTACATACTTCCAAGTACAGCCGTGGAGTAAGTAAAAACCAGAACTCTGCTCGTCGAGAAACGAATTTGTGTGCGCTGTGTGCGTTCCACTGACCTGTGTGACGTTGAACCACTCAAACCACTTGCTTAGTCTCGGGTACAGGTGTTGCAAGAACTCCTTGTCAACCTACAGGCACCATGAAGCATTACGAACACAAACAACAGGAACGAGGATGGCATTCATGGCCAACACACCCAATACTACTTGCAAGGTGCAACACGGCAATATACTTCCCAGCAGCAGCAGCGGTGTGGCGACAGCAGCAGTGACAGTAGCAGCAGCAGCAGCAGAGTAGACAATAACGTCGGCAGTAGCGAAAGCAACAGCAGCGGCAATCAAGCTGACCAGACATACCAGCCAGGACCGTATGTGTACACGACGGCAGAGTTGAGCAGAACATGAGCGAAGCAGAGCATGGCATACAGCACTTCTGAGCACAGGCAAGCTTCTCTTACCTGGTCGTTTCTCAATAGAGACTGGATACTGAGAAAGAATGTCGGTGGATTGGCATTCTCATTATGCTGCACAACAAACTCCTGGTCAGAGACGGGCAAAATAGGACGAGAACAAAACCAACAAGAGACAACAAACAGTCAACATGCAGGCCCGGAGCCAGCTCCTGGGGGGTGGTACGGCCCCAGGTCGGCTACGGGACCGACTATTTCCACATGCCCAATTTCAAAATCCTGGGAGGATACATCTCTACCTCTATGCATTGTCTGTTTGTTTCAGCTGCACACTTCCTCTAGCAACAGAGATGTCAGCTAGCACAGTAGACTCCACTGGACAGGAAGAACAGTTGAGGCTGAGGTAGAGACTCTAGGAAGGAGTGTATGAGGATAGCTTATTACTGGTGCTTCCAGATAATCAAGTGCGCAGTGAGCAGCCCATGAACGCTGGAGTTGGTGAAAACTGGTACGGCCATGGCCGCACCAGCCGTACCAGTGGCGCCGGCCCTGACATGGGGCACTACATTCTCATACCTCCATGTCTGTTCATTTGTAATCGCATTCTGGAGTAAAGGTGATCCCAGTAAGAAAACCTCTCAAGTCTCCGAAATCCCACGCTGTGGCAACTGAGACCCGCGTACACACCAGGCGTGCAAGGCTAAGGGGCCGGTCACACTGAGGGAAAATTTGAAAAAAAATCCGTGGTTACCATGGATATTTGCCGAGCGGGAATTTTGAGATTAATAATCCACTCGATGAAAATCACCTCGAGGCTCCGCTTTTCCGCAGAAGATTTTCATCCTTCCTGTTTCATCCTGTTTTTATCCGCAGCTTTGAGGTGCCTTCTTTGAGTTTCCTACATTTGACAAATTCCTACATTTGACAAATTGTTGTAGTTGTTACATGTTTCATGAAGTGGAGCGATACCCTAGAAGCTGTTCTGATGCAGCTCTGGCACAAGAGCGAGTCAAACTGCCAAAAAAGAATGGTGACGAAAAAGACCCAGCTCGGGTGGGTATCGGACCAGGGTATCGGACAAGCTGGCTCCGTACTTGGCTCCAAAGAGAGAATGCGTCATCGTCACCAACAGAATCACAGTCTGGCCATGGATTGAGCAAGTAGTTACAGGCTGACAGTGTACTTCTCCACCTGATCGAAGCCATCATGATGCTGTAGTTTACAGCTGTTTCCCCTCAGCCACTAGGATAGGATAGGACACCATAGGATACCAACTACATCCAAGATGGAACAGATTCCACCTGGGAGCGCTCCAGAAGTGTGTCAAGATAGGATTGGGCACTGCCCGCCCACAATACACACTTCCGCTGAATCGCTCCGCCCAGCAACACGTCAAGCAGTTACAGAATGAAATTTCCAGAGCAACATGTAGGTATTCACACAGAAGTCTCCACACAGAAGTGACTGAGAAGTCTTCACGTTTTCCCCCCAAGGTCACAAGAATGGAAGGCAGGCAGTGTTCACTGCAGAGCAGCTGAAGAACCATGCATTTCTAGCCGCGTCCGACTTTCAAGGTCCTTTCCATCACTGTTCTAGCATCAACGTCACAACCGATGGTCAATGAGTGCCTGCGAAAGATGGCGTTCACCAATGGACTGCGCGAATCCACCAAACCCAAGAAGGTACAGGCGGACATTAGCATTCTACCACATGGTGCTAGCATGCAACCGGAAAGTGTTTGCGGCTATCCAACACATGGTACTGGCCTGCAGCCAAAGTGGATATGCTGTCATGATACTTCCATCCAAGAAGAGCACACGCTTGGGGTGTGGGTAGTGAAGAGTTACCTGCACCCGGTAGACCTAACATGGTCGTAAGGCGGTAGCCGGTACCCTTGCATGCGTGCATGTGCGTGTGTGTGCGCGCGCGTGCATGTGCGTGTGTGCGCGCGCACGTGCGTGAGAGCATGCGTGTGTGCACGCACGCGCGCGTGTGTGGTGGGGGGCATTCAAGTTTCGGTTTGAGAGCAAGCTGCAAGTCCGCGCGCAACCCTCATGCAGGTTTAGTTTACGTGTCTATGTTTCGAATGCACCATAATACAACAGTTTTTTTTTAAATTCTGACCAAAATAAAAAAAGACTCACAAACTTCATTTCCCACAGTTTACTAGTTTTTACTACATTTTGTACAGTGTACAGTGTACAGTAGAGCCGCGCGTCCAAGAACGTTGTTTCCAAGGGTCTAGCCTAGGACGTTCTTATTTTTTCAGCAATCTGGCTGCGTTCTTATGGCACGTTCTTAGAAACAATCCGTACTGAATCGTAATGTATCCCACGAGCTCCCAGAAAACCAACACCGACATTAACTTTAGGCTGCGGCGTTCTTAAGCTGTGTTCACAACTGGCGCGTGTACGCGTGAAACCACGCGTTTGTGCGTATTTTTGTTGGCTTTTGGGGCGCCATGCGTACGGAAACGCGCCGAAATGGAAATTCCAACTTGTTGGAATTTTCAGCGCGTATCAGGCGCGTACCAGCGCACATGCCAGTCACTTTCACTGGTGGGGTCAACAAATTAGTACTCGAAGGTGTCGCACACGCTGAATACGACTCGAATTGCTGTTATTTTGTGAAAGCCTGAACGCACGTTTGGGCACGCATGAACCGCAAGCGTATCGCGTCCACGCGCGCAAGTTGTGAACACAGCACGAGTATTTCAGGCTGGAATTTCTTGGGCTCCACGTTCTTCAGCGCGCGACTCTACTGTAGTTTGAGCAGTTTAGCATTGTACTTCCGGAGAGTATAGTGCAGGGAGTCGTGTAAAATACCGGTGTTTTATGACTCCCTGGTATAGTGTGTATGCACGTTGGTAATATTTACGACTGTCAATTGGATTCAAATAACAGTTAGTTTCCGTTGTCCACATCAAACGTCAAGGAAAATGGATATCTACACTGTACATCAACAAGAGATGTTGCGACGTGTAGATAACTCCAGACTCCTGGAAATACGGTTCTACGAAATGAGTTCCATTCTGCTGCGAAATGTCGCAATATGCAATCACGCTCACGACACGATAATCTTCGAACTGAATCAATGATCTACTGAAGACCTGAATGGTTTCAAGGAAAGAAGGACAAGCCTGAAACCAACAGGGCAACAGAATGTCGGGCCGTGCGCGATACAACCATATCGATACGTCTTTCATATCAGTTTGAAAGGAGAAACATTCTATAATTACAACATGTCAACATGACATCGCGTGATCGACTTGGCCAGTCATCTCGGTACAGACGGTAGATCTACACTCACTCGCATCTCCTCCATAGAATGGATCCAGGTGAACGGGCCCCGTATAAGATGATCGATAGCGCAGAAGATCTTGTACGAAGCAGTGGTGGCCGAGTGGTTAAGGCGATTGACTAGAAATCAATTGGGCTCTGCCCGCACAGGTTCGAATCCTGTTCACTGCGATTGGTTCTCTTTTTTTCTCCCTTTTCCTTTTTTTCTTTGGCCAGGGAGCATGAAGCGCGCGCGATCACAAGACCGGAAAACGAACCTCGTTACACAGTACAGGTATAGCGCGATCACTTTTTTTTCTTCTTCATTTTCTCGTCTAGATTCAGGCTATGAACAGAGTTCTGGAGTACAGCTACACTACTATACTGACTGTACTGTCTGTGTGTCATGTTCATGTAGACCTGAAATTCCGGGAAAGAAATGAACTGGTCCGGGTGCCCTTGACAATGCCCTTGACAATGCCCTTGACTGGCTTGACAATTTGACATGACAGTGGCTAGCCCATTGGTTTGTTCGGTATTTTCATGGGAAAGCTGTGTGACTTGTGTCTGCAGTCCTCTCCTTACCACAGTCACACAGACAAACACACATTAGGCTAATTTCGGACTATAATAGTTTACGCTGCCTGCGCTCACATCAAACTATGCTGTGCTATCACTACTTCCAAAAGTACATACCCCCCCCCCCCCTCAGAGTGTGCAACTCCCACATACCCTGCTGTCCCGGCAGAATTTCAAGTTGACGTCATTATTTATGACGCAATGCTCCTTGCACCAGTGATTTACAACATGTGTACGGGTGTCAACGCATCACACGTTTTTCTTTGCAATAATTTGTACAGGATCAATCGGCTTCGCTCAACCACAGGTTCCGGATTCGTCTGATAATCTGTGTACAGTGCGCATTGCATCATCAAAATGACGTCAACTTGAAATTCTGTCGGGACAGCACCCATAGTGGAGTTGCACACTCTGGGGGGGGGGGGGGGGTATGTACTCTTGCTACTTCGCACTACTGTGCTGAACATCATCTTCAAGCAAAACACAGCGGCACAATAAATCCATGCACATGGTGCCAAATATCATCGAAGAAATCCAGATTCTGGACACCAGGCTTCGGCCGTACGCACACCGCTTTGTTTGCAAAGAGCCTAGTCAACAGCAGAACACTTTGCGGTGCTGTAGCAGAGTGAAAATCTACTCCTCTTGGGCCGCTCGGATAACCACCTCACATAAAACCAAGACGGGCCATAATCCCCCAGAGTGCGCAACTGGGATGGGGTTGTGGGACGGCGTACTCCGTGATGTACGCCATTTTTTGGGTCGGACTTGCATCATTCCGTCGATGCGATCCACCACACTGCCTCTACTCATGATGTCACACTATGACGTGCAACACGGATTTCGCCGTCCCAGATCTGATCCGTGAAGTTGCGCACTCTGGGGGATTATGGACTCTTGATAAAACCAAGAGTATATAACCCCCCAGAGTGTGCAACTCCCACATACCCTGCTGTCCCGACAGAATTTCAAGTTGACGTCATTATTTATGACGCAATGCTCCTTGCACCAGTGATTTACAACATGTGTACGGGTGTCAACGCATCACACGTTTTTCTTTGCAATAATTTGTACAGGATCGATCGGCTTCGGTCAACCACAGGTTCCGGATTCGTCTGGTAATCCGTGTACAGTGCGCATTGCATCATCAAAATGACGTCAACTTGAAATTCTGTCGGGACAGCACCCATAGTGGAGTTACACACTCTGGGGGGTTATGTACTCTTGATAAAACTGATAAAAGTACTAGAACAGAAAATAAATTCTAAAAATAGAAACCACTTGCTCAAGGGATCGGTGCAAGGAAAAGGTCTGAAGAAATACTAAGTCTTGATTGTCATGAGTCAGGACCAAACAGCGTAACGTTAATCAAAGGCTGCGGGAACAGTGGCTGTGTGGCCGGAGATGCTCAGTCAGTGAGCACCACAACCTAGATTTTCGGCATGAATTAAAATTCTAAAGTTAGAGTAGTGGGCGCTTGGCCATATCCATGGTCAACGGCGGCCGGCAATGGGAACAATAGCACTGGTACAGGAATCCGAGTGACTTTTAACGCACCACAATTGTTAATTTTGTTTGCCATAAACCCAGAAAACTAACAAACGCCAGACTCTCGTACAGCAATCTCCCTAATCCATGGCCATGGCTGATTGTAGTCAGCGGTGGGGTCGCAAAGTGCCTACCCCCACCCTATCCCGCAAATAAAAATAGCTCCGCACACTGCACGGGCCTTGCATTACGAACGCTATGCTGCGCAATCAAAAATGGTGCTGCTATACATGTACTCATGGGTGGGGGCTGCTAATGTGTGGACCCGATAGAAACTTGCCAAATGTGAAACAATTTATAGTACAGTCCTGCTCAATGAAACCCAGTCCCGGCACTCAAATTTGTGCCTTGCACCATTTCGCAACCCAGTGTTTGCAGGTCTAGGGCTGCGCAACGCCCGGTGCATACTTGAGAGACGCGACTGGATTTCATTGAGCAGCACTGTACATGCATAGTATAATAATAAAAATAATTCGCGGGATTCGCGTTGGCATCGCTTGAATGTTCAGAAACACACAAACTAGCCTTCGCTTCCGCAGGCCACCACTATGCCTATGCCTTGCACACCTGAGTGGCGAATGCAGACCTCACAAGTGAGTCAGGGGAGAGTAGGTGAGTCTCTCAACCAATCGGGCGTGTAACGGCCCATAACCCTGTAAACTGCATCCTTGTTACCCTCACTCCGAGCTGTGAGTACCCAGTTGACCGTGGGTGTCGGCGCAGTTCACCACGCGTAAAAAGTCTTTACTCACGTAAAAAGTCTTTACACGCTCCCTGCTACCAGCGCGGGTCTCGAACTCGGGACCTCATGATTCGCAGGCAGGCCTGCAAACCAATCGGCCATGTGCGTTGGTATACACCCAGTTTTAAAAGGGACCCTACCACCGCAGTCAAACAACACATCGCACCTGCTGTGCTGTGCTGTGCTGCTGCAGTACCATCCTGAGCATATCCACTGAGCTGTGCTCAGATCTATGCTGGGACTAAATCCTACTGGCACAACAGTCTTTCAAGGGATAGCTATGGCGTATGGTATATGGGGAGAGGGGGGGGGGGGGGGGAGATATATCCCATGATCTATGCTTTACTCCTATTCTACATACTACATGTACACGGGCAGGCTATGCATACAGATATGCTCAACGAAATTTGGGCTCATGAGTAAGCTACCACACTGTACCAGTGCACAGCCCAGTGTTGCACGGCACCCAGGGCTGGCTGACTCGCAATGCCCAGATTTCCTTTAGCAGCTCTGCAACTACAGTGATATTGGTTCTGGGCTTTGCTATCAGATGTTTGTCCTTAGAACTTACAGCAGGAACTCGACTTAGTGCCTCTGGTCCCAGGATCTGCTCTCGCGGTATCCAGCCATCCTGGTTGATCAAGTCAAACCAATGACCTATCGACTCCTTGGCAATCAGTGGGTCCCAGCGGCTGATCAGCAGCTGATGAAAGCCTTCGTCCCACAGGAATCCGCGGGGGAAGAAGGATCTAGAGGGTACTGCGAGTGAAGGGGGGGGGGGGGGAGGAGAAATGAGAATGTAGAGCGCAGTACGACAAACGTGATGGCAGCAGAGGTAACAGCTGCGATGGATGCTGGGACAAATCCCCAATGCACATTGATAGCACAAAAACAAAACAGTGCGTCCTGATTCCTGGACCATCCAGTCTTCAGCTACTGGTACTGCCAGATAACTGATTTCAAAAAGATCATGCGACGGCAACTCACTATGAATGAGTCGTATCTACACGGTCTGGATCCTACGTTTGTACATTACAAGTAACAACCACATGCCAGGTATACTGCATCTGACTTGCTGACATGGTATTGTGTACTGAATACACTGTACGTCGACTACATCTGAAAAGTATTTAACGTGTAAGGCTAGGACAGCGATCTCGTACAACCATTTGCGAGATGTGTCTACTCCATCCCTGGACAACTAGCATACGCATACAGAACAGAGCAAGTGAAGTAGGAGAAATCCCAGATGCAACAGTGCTGCGGTAGCCATTCAACACCGTTCGCTCTGGAACTTACCGGCAGTGAACAGCGGGCGAGTCATGTACTCCTGTACAGGCAGAATACAATGCAGGACAGACACACAGCAGTCAGGTGCAGCACATAGTCACACTTGATGCACTAGCAGATAATAGTGTCAGACCTTGCATAACCGCACACACCCGTTTTCCACAAAAATATCCGGATAGGCGAGGAAACCGGATAATCGAACACACATACTGTATGTATGCATGACATATGCTGTAAATCGGCAACCAACGATTTTCTTCCGGATGGCGAAGGATCCGGATAAAAGAGGACCGGATAAGCGAGGTCTGACTGTACTTCAAACAACAATAATACAGTGGAACCACTCATTTACTGACACCAGCAGGGAGCAGATAACATGCACTGTGCTGTGTAGGGATGCGCCCTCAACAAAGAACTCATCACGACTTTACTGGGAGCATGGGCGAGTGAAGAAACTGGAGATGTCCTCTGACGAAAGGGACGTTCTACTGTGACAGTTGTTTGGAGTACTTCACTCTAGTTTCCTTCCAATCTAGAGAAAAGTACGCATATATACAGTATAGGCGGGCGCAGGAGAAAAGACCGCTGAAGAACGGACAGGCTACGGTTTCAGTAAGACCCAGCATTCACGCGTTGACTCAACTGCACTTAGACTGCAGTACATGAAAAACAAGAGCAGCCTAGACTATGATGTTGGTCCCCCCGTTCTCTGGCACCCAGCAGTACAGTACATGTACACTCACAGGTACTGCGATGGGACTTTGATACATCTACAGTCAAACCTCTTTAGGACGAACGCCAAGGGACCGATGATATTTGTTCGCAATAACGGGAGTTCTTCTTTTCCGTATGTTATACCCAGTGAATATACAGTGATTTATCCAATGGAGTTACGAATACTAGTTCTTCTTAAGCAAACATTTGTCTTATCAGTGTTCTTTTAACGAGGTTTCAATGTACCATCTTCGAACCAATCTGTACGTGGGAAGTAATAGAAACGGCTTCTCAGCATTTAGCAGTGCAAGTCATACTGCAGCACATGTACAAACACACGTGGAGAACAGCGAAAGTCATGATGCTAGTAGAGCACTACTTACCACAGGTGTAGACAAGTCACTAGATGTCACGCTGCACAGACCGGGAAAACACACACACACACACACACACACACACACACACACACACACGCACATACACACACATGCACGTACACATGCGCCCACGCACGCACGCAAATGAAAGAAATTTTGATCAGGTACAATACATGTACATGTACACAGCGGTTTAAAAAAAGGTGGTAAGAAGGAAAAGTGACCCTGAAACAATCATCTCCGAGTCCTAAGCCTCAACTACAGCGCTGGCCAGTGGAATAGGACTACTCTGCTGAGAAGCACAGCACAACGTTACATTGTGGACACGTGAACTACGCTGAGTTGCAGAGCTATCTGGTACCAAGCATTGCATTTCAGACCAGCAGTGTACGTGTGTCAAACACAGTGGCGGCTACTGGAGCAACCACTATGGGTACCATCACACAATACTAGGGCAAAGTATAGCCAGGGGGTTATGGATGTGGACGACCTTTCTATGTATGGCACATGTACATGTTGTTTGTATAGTACTTCTGTTGCGTTTCCCCAGTGTCTACCTTGCAGCTTAGTCGTACATGTACGGCCAGCTCGTGCTTCCGCCAGTCTCTTTATAAGTGAAGTTTTGCGAAACACACCGCAATAGTCTAAGTGTGGGGATGGCAAGAGGCTGGCAGCGGTAAGCTTTGGCCATTGCAACACACCTACAAAACATGTTTTCTCACAACAAGCGACTAGCTAGACATGTACTTGTACTAGCGAGACACAGAGTGGTGCCTAGGTTATATTCCCCCTTCAGCAGTGGCTGAGATTGCACTGCACCAACTCAATGGCATGCTGAGCTCCAACATCCCTGCTCAAACCGACCCAGGAGTCAAGGGTGTGCGATCAGTACGTGCAACATTAAGTTACACTATTACATAAGATTAAAGTTCACCACCATACCTTGAAGCACCGTAGAAATATCCCATTCCACCAAGCATGTTACTGAGCGCTGCGCGGGCAAAGTTGATTTCAGCCGCCGAGTACTTCTGCAAACAGGAAATACAGCACAATGACAATGGCATGGCTACTGAAGAGGAGCGGTTCATATTCACTTCACCGGTGGCAGATCTTGTCAGAGGAATGAGAGGCGAGCGCTACCGCCCTCGCGCCTGAATTGGGGCCTGTGGGTGAAGAACCCTACAGCCAGTGTATTCATCCACGCTAGCAATCATCACCACCGCCAGTGAAGTTCGGCACTAGGTCTTGAGACTGCAGTCTCACAGAACGAAAAAAATGTTCTTCCTCACCGGACCTGCTTGTCAGTTCACAACTGCACAATGCTGGCTCTGATGATAGCCCACTAGAGTATTATGTGTCCAGTTTGCACCTCTCAATGCAGTTTTCATGGTTCTTCCACAGTGTTTTTTAGTGTTTGCTGCACAAGTGGCTTTGCCGACAGAGCACAGTACTGGGTGTGAGTGAAGCCAGGGGTTGTGTTTCTCACACATCCTAAAGCTTTGTCCCTGTAGCAGTCCACCCCAACCCCCTCCCTCTATCCCGCCGGGGAGACACCCCAGGACCCCTAAAAACTCTTGATTTCATCCCGGTGCCAAAACTGTTCACAGCCATTCAGATGACTCAAGAAATGAAGTACAAAACGAAGATATTCTTCCACTGACATCCCATTCACAAACACACACACGTGCATGCACGCACACACGGGGTACTTCTATGCAGCCGCGTGCTGGTACATATCAACTCACCTTAGCTGCAAGGTCAAATGTCTTCTCAAACCTGAATAGCAGAATGAAGCACAGAACAAAGTAGTGTCAGAGGAGAAATGTCTTCGACCACAACAGCTCACTTCCTCCCGATGCACAGCAAAGTATACCACATATGCGCCACATACGCCAAGACTATGAGCCAGGAGAGAAACAACATCCTCCCCTGAACGAGTGCCCTTCCCCCTGATTCAAAGCAAAGTGTATCACATACACCAACACAACAACAGATGCAAAGTGCCCAGACTGATCACACTCCACTTGCCGTGTATTGAACGCCTTGTGGTGTGCTTTCAACGCCTTTGTCAGATCACTACCAGCAGGAGGAGCACCGTTCCGGTCGGAATGCTGGACAGGGGAACACGCACAGAGATAGCAGGACAATTACCTACAAATCAGATATATTGCTGATAACACATAACTCCTAGGACCTGGCAAATACCATGCAACACCCAGGATTATGCTGTGGAGCAGAAGCAATCCATCTGCTGCAAAATAAAGTTGACACCCAAAAGGGAAGAGCTTCCATCATCAAGTACACACACACACACACACACACACACACACACACACACACACACACACACACACACACACACACACACACACACACACACACACACACACACACACACACTTAGCATTCATGAAGCAGCTGAGTAAAGGCAAATCACCAGGCACCAGGCAGCTGATATGCCAAGAACGCTGTTTTACAAGCTGAGCAGCACAGTGTGGTTATTATGTGAGAGAGACACATTTCATTGAATGTGCCATTGGCTCTGTGATTCGGGCGTTGAGCTACCGCAAAACAAAACATCGGAAGAGCAATCCTGATTGCACAACAAAACTTACAGATTTGAATGTGATGTCAGCTTGGAAAGGCAAATCAAACATAGCCTGGCGAGAGAAGAACAGAACAGAGAACGACACAAAGCACCAAAACTAGCTTTATCGATCTGTTTTTTATACACTGTTGCTGTCGGTAGTACAGTCACAGTGTATGCAAAAGGGAGAGCCGAGTCCAGTGAAACACATCGGTGCATGCACACACACAGTCACAAGTGAAATGCCAGATGGCAGAACACACAATGTGATCTCAAACCAAGTCAACGCAAACCCATGCCCACACGCACACAAACACACACACACACACAAACACACACACACACACACAAACACACACACACAAAGCCACTTGGGTAGCAGAGTAATACAAAGAAAGCAAAAAAACCCAAGAAGGCATACCTGTTGAATGATGACATTCGGCTTGGGCTATAACACAAGATACAGCACAGCAATACAACAACCTAACAGTTATGACAGTGAACCTTGCATGTGGACCATACAAAACAGTAATAATGACACCAAACCACTCGCATGATGACCATACATTTCTTGTATGCTCGTGTGTGTGTGTGTGTATGGGAGAAAGTGAGAATGAGCGAGTGGGAGTGGGTATGTGTGCGCGAGAGAGAGAGAGAGAGAGAGAGAGAGAGAGAGAGAGAGAGAGAGAGAGAGAGAGAGAGAGAGAGAGAGAGAGAGAGAGAGAGAGAGAGAGAGAGAGAGAGAGAGAGAGCTGGATTGTATGTAGCAGAGCATTTCACATGATTACGAAAATAGAAAAAACCATCCTCAGGTGAACATTAGCTGTATTCTACTTACAGGAAACAACTTGCCAATACACTCCGTGATGCTGCCCTACATAGAGGAAAAGCATAAAGGCAAGAAGGAATTCAAACTACAAAGTAGTAAATTCCATTCCCCCAAGTAATGGGTAAATATGGTGGACAACATTCTTCATTCACTACTCCCGAAGGCACGCAAATCCGTAGCTAGAGCTTATCATGGAGTAAAGCATGTTTGGGAGTAGGTGTCGGTTCTTGACCAGTTCAGAGCGTAACTTATTCTGGTCCTTACCTCAGTAGCGAACAATGTCATCAAGCAGTCCGTCCACGTGACCTGCATAGCACACATGCGCAAACAATTATTCGTACCGGAAAAACAAAGACTTAGACTCCATGCAAAGAAAATTAGCCGACTCGCGAACGTCCTGATAAATTCAACTCCACAATAGACCCTTTGAATTCAGAAACTCGTGACTACATTCTCCACGGAGAATAATATAACAGGAGCCAAGTTCTTCTGTGCATGTATACGCAGTTGCCTTTGCATGATGCTGTTCTCCAGCAAAGCAATAAAAGAGTGACATAATCCAATGACGTCATCAATTTGGTGCAAACAGTCTACATTGTAGAGGTGAGGACTAAATCACTAGAAACAAGTGTTTGAGTAAACTAAACTGCCATGAACTTCCTGTCATAACATCCAACTCACTTCATCCAGCTTGCGACCACCTCGCATCATCTTGTCCATGACAAAGTCGTGCAGCTTCTCCAACTTGGGCGCATGGCTGACGTAGTGATCCTTACCCTGCAGAAAACAGCGTCACGATGGGTGCGCACACACACGATCATGGTGTTCAGACATATGGAACAGCGATGCCTTTTAAAATACGCTGTTGATCAACTGCACGTATACTTCAGTACAGTATACCTCCAAGGGGCATAACACCTGCTATCTATAACCGAGGCACTCTATTTCCAAGATCAAATGAATGGAACAGAACATGAAGCGTACTAAAAACACGACATGTACACACGGGTATTTCGCACTTTGTAGCCGATTTAGAAAGATATTTTAAAAAGCACATTGCACGGCGGTGAAAACTGAAAAGATCACAATTTACATGTACCGGTACTCAGCGATCGAGCATTCGATCATAACTGTCAGCCAACATCATCAGTTTTACAAACGTAAGCACCCCTCCTTTTCGAATACTGGCGGTTCATAGCTCCGTCATTCTATTACACAAACAGGGGGCATCAAGTTTGAAGGGTACATAGACACACGTACCGTAGATGCTGCTGCCGGTAAGCTGATTGTGAACTCTCCAAGCTAGGTAACAAACACGCAGAGGCAGAAGAGCAGGAACAACAGCAAGTGAGTCTTAAGAATAAGAGCAAAGAAAACGGGAATAGAGCTGCAAAAGTTAATTTCAGAGGGCAGCGAAGTCCACACTTTACTCGTACGTCACGGATCAGTGCCGGTAGTAGTCCGCACAGATAGTCCAAACCCTGCCAGCAGCACTTGGTTCCAGTGATGGTGCATGGTACAGTACGGGGTAGTCAACATGTGACGGCAGTGCATTGTGCTCAAGGGTTGGAGTGCAGCGTACTCAACAACACTGGCATCAGAATCCTGATGATTGCTTTTCAGCATGAAACTCGTGAGTATGTTAGAGACATCTAATCACTTTTCGTTCCACCGGATTTTCGTTTGTACTAAGCTCTGCACCCCGTGTGTTGAGCACTGTGCCCGGTAATCAAGGTTCTTCTATAGATATGCTGACACAGAGCCAGGAGCAGACCTAGTAGGGACACGATATTAACAGAGGAGACAACGCACAACAAACGGAACAAATAATACGCCCACCTCTGGTGTTGCACCGCGGATTTCCGTCATCTTCGGCGAGCCAAGGCGTGTGCGAGCTGGCTCCACGATGGGGCTCATTTCACCGTCGCCTTCATTGAACTGGATACGTATTGAGACCACACGTGCAAACAATAAATCACGAGAATGTTGTCTACCTTAGAATGTAGTAGCTCTGCTTTCGCTGGCACGTCTTAAAACAGCTTTGCACTAAAAAAAATAGTTAGAAAACCGTTACAACTGCACATCCTTGAATTGAATATCAAGAGTTACCACAATGAATTAGAACAACCAGCTACTGTGCTTACCATTTGAAGTATTATTCACGCTATGATGTAATGCACTGCGGTGATTTACACCTTAACTGTGTGCGGGTATATAAACCAGCATCCAGATATTCCTCATCACTAATGTCTGATGATCACCTCGTGCGCGAAGCTCAGCGTTACAACACAATCTTCACCCTCTTCTTGTTGTATGCTTGAATAATATGGTGGTAAAAGCACACCTGGCGGAATGGCGTAAAAAAACCCTCGCCTGCCCACAACAAACTCTCCAACCTGCAAAGTTACACTCTGGCACAAAGCTCTCCTTCTCACCGGCACCAGCACCATCAGTTCATGCATGGCACCTGATCGATACATGGCTGGTGGCATTTAACACAGTGGGTTGGTACATCAGGTAGCGCTTGGGAGCTGGTGAGAAGGAGAGCTCTGTGCCAGAGTGTAACCTTGAAGTTTAGTGAGCTTGTGCAGGCAAGCATGTGTTTAATCTTTAGTGTACACTGTGTACCGCCGTTTCGTCAGGAGTTGCCAGGAGTTCATATTAGAATGATGTGGCACTTCATACATAAATCTAAAAACCTGGCAAAACGAAACACTCACCGCATAGAAGAAAAGAGCAATCTGATCTTTCTGCTGCTTGGACTTGGATGTCTTGACCTTCTTTCGAGGCTATCTCAAAGCAAACAATCAAATAAGAAAAAATACACACACAAAGACATATATACACATGCATGCATGTGCACACACAGATACAAAGGGACGGACACACAGACACAGCACGCAAAAGATCTGATGAAAATCAAGAAATCATCAACGCCAAGACGTGCCACTCAGTGGACTTGGATAAATAGAACTACAAACTTGCAGCCAACCTGCACACAGCCACAGTTTTGCAAACGAAATCCCTTCAGCCATGCAAAATGCAAATCAAGGGCATTGATGTGGATACACAGTGCACTGCAATACGACACATGTTCCGAAAATGACGTACACTCCGCCAAAATGGCAAGCGGGAAGGACTGTGCTGTGAAGAGCAGTGCAGTGCTATTGGTTACCCTGCATGCTCACTGTTCACTGACCTTGGCTGATATCCGTGCTGACCAATGGCCGCCGTGTTCACCACCGGCCTGCTTGACGAACTCCGTCGTCAGCGTGAAATCTTAGTTGTCGGCACAAAACACAGACACACACACATACATATTGACTTGGATGTGTAGTTGCAAAAACATCCCACTGGAGTACAGAGCAAAGGGGTAAAAGATTACACGCTCCACCGTGTGCTCACACACACATTGACTGTGATGTGCAGTTGCAAAACGACCCCATCGGAGGCCAGAGCGCATTATAAAACATCACACTGTACACCGCGTGCTCCACCTTACCTTCTTCAGCGACCTCCTGGCTACCAAACGCCTGTCCGTCATGCTTCAGCCAGCCGTAATGCAAGAGATTGTCATCCTGCTGAGCAAGATGACGAATGGACCGCCACCCCTGGCTTCCAGGCATGTACGGGTACCACATCAAGCCAGTGACAATAGACCTAGAACATATATACACACGGATGCGTGCACACACACACACACACACACACACACACACACACACACACACACACACACACACACACACACACACATGCACACACACATGCATACACACACATGCATACACACACATGCATACACACACACACACACACACACACACACACACACACACACACACACACACACACACACACACACACACATGCATACACACACATGCATACACACACATGCATACACACACACACACACACACACACACACACACACACACACACACACACACAAGAATACACACATGAACATGCATACACACACACACACAAGCGCGCACATGGACACCAGGAGCACAACATACTCATGAGCACCTAACGACAGCAGTGCGTAATTTGTCAGAACAGAGTGCGACCACACAGCTGTGTCGGGTGGACTCTGGCAAAACATCATGGGAGGATACTAGTACAGTTGCGCTCACTGAAATCCGACCCAAAGTGCAAAGCTGGCGCCCTCGACCAGTTCCGTTTACATCATCGTATGTGTACATGTGTACGGCCAGCCGCATTCGTTCCACTTCCAGGGTGTCAAGGGCCGTGGACGTTGAGGGTGCCAGGTTTGCATGTTGGGTCGGATTTCAGTGAGCGCAACTGTACTTGATGTTGGCACTGACAGAACCTCTTACATGTTCCGATCTCAACAGGCGCCACCCTCACCCTGTGCCAATCTTGTTAACAACAGACAGCCACAAGGTTGCCACACTCAGCGGCGACTGGACAATGCTCACAACAATCTACAACCAGTCTACATTACGATTCGTGAAAGGCGGACATGTTCTAGTACAAAACATGAAATTTTCTTCTCCGGTTCCGCAGTGGTTGAGCGTAAACCCTCTCCTTCGCATACACACACACACACACACACACACACACACACACACAAGCGCACGCACAAAAACACACACACAAACACACGCACAAGCGCACGCACAAAAACACACACACAAACACACGCACACACACACACACATGTGCATACACCTGGACGTGGATATGACACTTACTTTGGTAGACGGGGCCGCATGCCGAAATACACTTGCGGCCTGATGGGAACACACAGGGTGAACACAAACGTACATGTACGGTCCATTAGACGTGTATGCAAGGGAATTCTGGAAACCGAGCCGTGACGGAGGTTGCTGTTGAGTTGCACACACTGGGACAGTTATGTACTCTTGGTATGGGTACTACCAAGTACATACTGTACACCACAGGGGCGGATCTAGGAGGGGTTCCGCGGATCCCCTAAATTTCGTAAATGTATTACTGCCAACCATATGCGTGTCCATGTACATATATCAGCTATTCAGTTTTGACTATACTGGACCCCACCCTCGCAGGGATCGCTGGATCCACCACTGTACATGCAAGTACATACAGATGCAACTACACTACGGAATGTAACGTACTGAATTACTGAACGTGTCACAAGTGGCCTGATGATTGCATAGAGCACTAAACAAGGTGTTGCGACTAACTCTGCACACCTCTGCTGTGCCCTTTGTGTGTAACTGCAATTACATGTACAGTCAACTTCGCTTATAACGACATTCGGCGGGGCATCAAAAAAGTGTCATTATTCGCGAAGTGTCGTTATACCCGAAGTCTCATTGTATGTACTACATGTACGTATACAGTTGGATGGGACTTTGCTCTGGGCGTGGAAATTCTGTCGTTATTCGCGAATTGTCGTTATATCCGCAGTCGTTATTAGCGACGTTGACTGTACATGACGTACCAGTACTGCCGGAATCAGTTTTTGATTGGTCCGCTAGTGTTATCATGGCCTTTCATACTTTGTGTATGAGATTGCAGGTACACATGCTCTCCACAGTAGGGAACACATGTTGGTGGCCAAACAGTTGGTCCGGTTAAGTCCCACATACAGTACATGCAAGTATGCAAGTATGTACGAGCCGTGTACCAGCACATGCACATGCAAGTACATATACCAGTACGCAAACAAGACATGTTGAACTGAATGCATTTGCTGGCGGTCTAGCAACAGACGGTCGAAACGTGCGTACATACATGGAGCTGGTTTTACCCGCACACAGCCATGTACAGTGTACACTACAAAAGTATTCGGGGCCCATGCATGTGCATTATGTACACTGCCATGTACACTACAGACTATGGTCCGTGTTGAGTCAACGGTGAACCGTGTAGGCTAGAGTGGACATATTCATTGTTGTATCATGGTTATACATGTAATGGCAAGTGTAGGGTGTGCACAGCTAACTGTCTTGGCCGTTTTATGCCGATGTACTCCGTGTGGTGTAGACCAGGACTGGTGTGCATTGGTGGTCGATTCACATGGCTTCGCCAGTTGTGTGGATTAGACAGTTATCTGGCGCAAGTCTTGATCTGTCTCATTCAGATCTTGTTCGCTATCGTTGCTATAAGAGAAAATCTGTGGGTGAACATCCAGTGCATTTGCAGATTTGTGTTCTTCTCTTGCGACGGGCGTATACATGGTACATGTAATGAAAGTGGATTGTATGAGGTGGGCACCCTGTTGATATGATCTCCTATAGAAAGGGCACAATATACACAAATTGACATTGCGGTGTATGGATGCTTGTTAATCCTGCAGAAATCTGCCGCACTGACACCGCTGTAGGGGCGTAGCTCGTACATCTGTAGTGTGGTGACCATGTACCACCGGCAACCTCATAGCCCCCATTTCGCCTATTTCGACTATGTAGTAGCTATGACGGCAATTTGCCGGTGTCGTGACAGGACTACGCTGACTATGCACGAGCTACGCGCCTGCGCTGTATTAAATAGGCCTGACTGCGCCTGCACATTGCAGTCCTTGAACCGACAATACAACTTACATGACATTGACTGTTTTGGGGACCCATCCGGCATAAAATTTCCGATGATCCCACTCAGTTGACCTCTGATATAGAGCTACCACCTAGCCTATGAATATAAAGTACGTATCCTCGCGTTCCTTGGAGATAATAGGGAGGTTTAGCCCCACGTAATCCGTGGGTACTTTACGAGTGTGTACCACGTGATACTCAGTGACCCACGTACAGACGTTTTCTGATTCACGACATACCGTGTATGGAGGCTCACCCACGTTCCGCCAGAACGTGGGTGAAAATCAGAATGGAGCGCACTGTGCGAGCTGTGAGGGTGCTCAGCTGAAGAAGTTTCCGAAGCACGAAATCAAAATATTGGATGAGCTTCTTAGGCCGGGGTAGCTTCGTCTTTGACCAGGTTTTGGCCTTTAGCTTCATGCTTTTGTTTGTTCCGTGTGACTAAACACAACATTGCAACGTGGGTGCCCTTCATCCACTTTACGTGGATCACCCACGTACGCGTTTCCGTTACGTGGGAACTAAACCTCCCTAATATACACTCTACTGAACTTGTACCGTGACACGTATTGAATGACCTCACCTATAAGATCCCCACAGTCGTTCCTTGGAGAATTCTGGTGAGAAAGAAGAGCCATTGGTCATCACCCTGGGAGCGTCCAGGGGAACTTGAATATGATTCAGTGACTGGATGGACGTAAACAGGGATGGATAGGATGACCAGAGAGCTACAGCACAGCCCATGATCAGCCCGGGCAATACGATACAAAACATGGATATTCCTCCAGACTTGCGATCGTTCCCAGCTGTCCGCTGCGCTGAGTCCGAGCCATCAGGAGGAGTTGGTTTCCTCCGCCTCGGCTCACTCGCCGGGAGCTTCGCCATCCTAAAAGCCACCACTCATAAGCTTCAGCGGACTGCAGTAAAGTATACTTTATAAGTTTATGGGCACTTGGACTGGATCGGAAAATATTATTGGGAATGATCAGTGAAGCCTGAAGAGATAAAAATAAAAATTGTCGAAAAGGTACGATGTACGAGTTTGAACGCGAAACTGACGCCATAACTTCATAAGTTCTCACCATGGAAACGAGTTGGGGAAGCTTGATCGTGTATCCGGGACTTCCCCGGGCCCAGCTGCAATCACTGCATGTCAGATTGATTTGATTTTAGGAATAGGATCGGGAGCCACCAAATGTCCAAAGCCCAAATAAAAAGTCTACAAAAGACTCCAAGACCTTGCGCGAGCTGTCTTGTGCCGAGAAAGTGGGGGATCAGACAGCAGAGTCGCGACCTACAAGTAGACCGTTTTCATGTAGAAATATCTAGACTCGCTGACTGAGCCACCAGGTTACAGCTAAAATAATTAATTATTAGTCCTCCTTGTGGCTGTATTCGGTGCACGCCATTCTCAGACAGTGCTTCCGAAGGCCAGTAGGCGGCAGTGCACTGAGCAGGATCCAGGAAAGCCTGTACTGTAGTGATCACTGATTCAGTTCACCTTGCACCAAGTACAAATGTAAGTAACAGCTAGTTAGTCAGTGTCGACTGTTGTACCTATGCGATGCGAAATGCCACGAAGAACGTCGAAAGATCACACCTGGAACGAAAATGATGATCTTATATCGGAATCATTGGCGATCATTATTTGATATGGCATAGACATATGGCATAGACATATGGCATAGACATATGGCATAGACAGGATGCACTTTTAGCACGTTTACTGTTTATGATGGTGTTGACCGGGAAGTCGTGAAAGGACTTTTCCAGTTTGGACCTGTAACAGCTGGTACTGGTGTTGACCAGAAATACTTCGACAGCCGAAGATCCGCGCGCGACTCCAGGCGATAGGCATGTTGTGCACGTGCACACACACACGCACACACCAGGGGCGTAGCTGCCCCCCCCCCCCTTCTAGGGGTACACGGCCGGTTCATCTTTACCGGAACGCGTAGAATGGCTGGTGCATGTCATCATGGTCACTATGTGCATGCAGAAACTAGGTCGAACTTTTAGGAGGGTGCACGTACCCCATGCGGGCTACACGCCTGCACACACATACATATACACACACATGCACACACATGCACACACACACATGCACAACATAGATGCTATCATGCACTTGCAAGCTATCAAGGCTGGCATGAATGAGCACCTTGTAAAGCACAGCAAATAAATAAATATGCTGAAGTGTGATGGTACAGCTGAATACAGGTAAGGCATATATCACAGCAGATGGCAGTAGCAGATACGGAAGATAACAATGACCATGCTTCATATTCTCTCATGATATCCGCTAGAATACTGGACAAAAACCGGATTGACGTATGGATGTGGCAACAGTTACAACTTTGACAGCAGCTTTGTCAAGTTTTAGGTACAAAGTCATTCTAAAATAGCCTGATCAAGGCCTTACCATATGGGGTAAAGCAGCTCTCACCGACCATTAGATTTCTGATATTTAAAAAAATTAACAAAATATAATAGCAAATGGGGCTAAGCATGTATTATGGTACATCGGTAGTGATCACTCTTTTCAACTTCTGCGTGTGCTGCACATGCATGGTATTAAATGTGTTCTCCCTCTCTCCCTCTCTCTCTCTCCCTCTCTCTCTCTCCCTCTCTCTCTCTCTCCCTCTCTCTCTCTCCCTCCCTCTCTCTATAACAAAGTACACTGGGTCATGATGGTAATCTAGCCTTCTGCGGGTGTCTTCTTTCAATTCGGTATTCTACAGTCAGCACACAGAGAAGGCATCACATGGAGATAGAGCGAATGGCACACACACACGCCTAGCTAGCCACTATTGTAACATTTCATGTCGTCCTGATGAATGATTTCACTCAAGTGTGATAAATCATAATAGTTTGAAATGGTGCATCATTAAATTGCCACCCACTGTAACTTTTCTAGGATTGGGAGAACTTCAAAATTCAAAGGATCAGTTAGGGAAGTGAACTGCTTGAAAAGAGAACAAATGCTACTAGACCCACCAGGACTCGAACCCGGGACCTTGCTAATCATGAGCAATGCTCTAACCATTTGAGGTATATGGGACCAGGCCAAACTTAGAAGGCGCTGACAAGCTTTCCACTCTCAAGCCAGCTCACAACACGTCCCACGCAATCAAATTGATGGCAAGTGCCATCAGTACGATTGTGTGGCACGTGATGTGAGCTGCTACTAGTGTCATATGCACCTATGCATATACGTATACAAAACAGAGAGGTTCCAGGCTGTCCAAGAGAGTGCTCAATACCAAGAGGCAGAGCTGGTCCAAACAATAAGAGCACAGAGAAAGTGTTTTCTGATGATCGCTTAATGCGTGAAACTCGGAGTTAAAACACTTTCTCCGTCCTCTTATTGTTTGTTTCATATACGTATACATGTTCGTAGAAGATATTGCAGGTGAATCTCACCGTTAATCTTGTTTGTTTTCCAGCACAAGCCAACGAGAACCAGTGCTGAGAGTATAGACAGGGTGATGGATGCCGAGCCCATTGTGATATACGCTGTGTGCTTGTAGTCCGTGTCGTGGGATTCTGCAGAAAAAGACATGGACGCGGCACCAATACGTAAATTCACCACTTCACAATACTGTCAAGTTGACCAGATTGCTATTGCTACAGCACTGCCGGTCACCGAAGAACTGGGGGGGGGGGGGGGGGAGGTCAGCATCCTAGCCTAGACCGTTCTTAAGTTCATGTTTTACCGTCTATGCGCTGTTGAGTCACCGCGCATACATAAGTGTGCTGTGCTTGGTGAACTTCTAGCCTGGTCGTTCTTCGGCGCCCGACAGTACTGTATGCACAATCTATGAGCAGCAGCACGCACTGGCTTGACTGGCTTGACTGGTATGCAATTACATGCCAGTAAGTACAATGTAGTACTGTTGCTTTCGGTGCAGAAAGTCGACAGTTTGAAGCTGTACGAACAACACTACCGGCTTCAGTACATTCAGCAGCTCAGTTTCATAAGAAGGTTGGTTTCTCGCAACACTCGAGCTCGCGCTTTCCCCGCCAACTTGACTCAACACTTCACTGACTCACGACTGCCAGCGAGAGCACACGAGAAGTCCATCAAACCATCGACTTGGCACACCTGCAAGAAAACCGCACCACTCCCTGCATAACAACGCGAGTTCAAGGGTTAGAGGCAACCAAACTTCTTGTATTTATTGCCGACTTCGCCACCAATAATGCGTGCTCGTTTCAGTGTGAACAGATTACGAGCTGTGGACCCTATAAGCTTCTACCAGCCCACGAATCGGCACATTCTCCAGGACACGCAATGGAGCGTAGTAGAGCTATCAATTACTGGTCTTCTCTTGAAAACTGCCACCGATTTAGGAGCTGCATCTGTGCCTTGAGGCTTGAGGGGCTGGTGCTCCTATGGATGCGGAGAATTCAGTCTGAGTCTCACACGCTCCGTAAGATACGTATATCTTGAGACCGGCATGTGGCTTTCCAGTTCATGCACCGAAGTGCTGTGGATTAAGCGTGCATCCCTGGATCAAGCGGAATCCTGTCGTATTAGGACAGTCTCCGCTGCACAAAGGGCGTCCACTCAGGGCAGGTTTTACTGTAAATAAATAACTACCGGGGGTATAGTTTAAAAACAATGTACGTAGTGTCCAGTATGGCTGGCTGATCACACTTTTAGGACACTGCTGTTCAGTCAACTATTCAACCCCATTTTCACGTTATCCCAGCATACGAGGGAGCAAGGCGTTGCCAATGCACTGCTGCGAGTGCAATCTGCCTGCCTGACTGCACCATGCCTCTACAACACAGTCAATGCAATCACCACGACAACGGCTACGAGCCCATTGCGCAATGACGTAATTTTTACCGTCAACACGCCACACAGCTACCCGGGTATGGACGTGTGTGGGGTGTTGAACAGGCAGTGTGTTTGCTGATCCCAACATGCTCACATGCATTACTCTCGCAATCTACTAGTACATTTGGCAATGCGCAATGGGCTTATTAGGATATTACCTGCACATGCGGTGTATTCCGGCGACCAGCTCCCACCGAGCTGACACATCGTCACATGATACTCCGTCCTGGCCAGAGCATCAGCAGGATTGTGGACCTCACTGTTGCAGGTGAACCTCACTGAAGTGTGTGCGGGCACACGGCGAGGAAAGTCCATTTCATCACCACTAGCATTCACGAGAGAAATGGACAACGCAAGTCGGATGAATCTCGGCGACAGAGTGCAGTATTTCAGGGGCCGTGTTGTGACGTGGGTGGCCGTGGCGTGGCCCGGGCCAGCGGAGGTCACCGCTCGCATGATGACCACCACACGGTTTCCAAACGGCAGTCCAGTGATGCGGTGGTGTGTCGACTGTGAGCTGATATTCACCTGTGTGACTTGAAACTGAAGTTGTACAACACCATAGTCGAGCTGATAATATTGGAGAACTCCTGTTGTTGAAGAAGGGCAAAAAGAGTACAGATTCACGGATAGCACATGATCACATTTCCCAGAGATGTTTGATAGGCAACCACACAGCATCAGAGCTATGGAAAGGCAAATCCATGCATGCATTGGTGTGTAGCTTCTAGCAATTGGAGAACCCCGAGTTGTCCAGCATGATATACAGGATTTCCATGCACGGACAGTTCTGCATAGAAACTGCACCGGAAACAGCGACCAGCTTTTAGTGTATCAATTGCCATATCTGACCTGCACACACAGTGCCCAACGTGCTTGACTGCAACAGGGTTGAAGTGTGCTCAGAAGCGAGTGCATACAGTTAACGAAAATGACAAGGGACAGTGCGAGGTGTGAAACTCGTGGGTGCTTCGTCTGCATGACAGTGTTCCATACCAACACGTGTCAATACGAGTGAGTACATGTATAATGGAAGTATGTGCATGATCCGGCATGCCGCGAATGTATGGAACCTTGTTCTAAAGACCACTTGGTTTTAACGACCACTTTTGCTCGCACCGTGGGGTGGTCACCTAAACCATGCTTTACTATACAAGTAATTGTGATAGTACTGTAGTACCGGTAACTACGATTGCGAATGGTGTCAATTCTGTAGGTCCCAAATGCCACAGTATAACCCACTACTTACCATTGGTTACCAATGGTGGCTGCCACTTGACGTCAACTTCAGAGTCAGACCTGGCAAAGGCAGCCAGGTTGGCCACCGGACCAGCAACTGATAAAGCATAAAAAGGACAGCAGCAAGCCCAACTCTCACAATCACAACAAAGCCACCAAGACAGTTGTCAATGATAGGATAGGGAGCACTGTCTTTGAGCTGCTCTGACTGGCTCTGGTTGGATGTTGAAGAAAAATGACCACTTTCTTTGTCGATGGCGAGAAAAGTGTCAATTTTCCCCCGCGTTGGTAACTATAGCATGCATGTACGCCCGCCGCCCGTACACGCACACACACACACACACATACACACATACACGCACGCCTCAGACCTCAGACTTGCCCATCGCGGAAGCGATGATAGCGAACAGCTATGTTAGACATAGCAACTTGTGCTGGGATTACACCGTTCAACAGCTTGCAAGGCATGCACACATTCTGCCTTCTCTCTCTCTCTCTCTCTCTCTCTCTCTCTCTCTCTCTCTCTCTCTCTCTCTCTCTCTCTCTCTCTCTCTCTCTCGCGCGCTCTTTCTTTCTATCTTTCTCTACTCCAATCACGAACTCTTTTTAGAAACCCTATCTTTCAGACGTCTCTCTTTCTCTCTGTATCTATCTCTAAAGGCATTAATGACGATAAAAGGATGGAGCATGCGGTCTATGTACATCCATGAGGAAAACCTCGTGTCACAAAATATCATGTAATAAGTGTTACAGTATGCGGTTGATGTTACTAAGCTCGTGTATGTGACAGGGTGTGTGGACGGGGTGTGGAGCATGTGAGGGTAAATGGGCACATGGTAGGATGGAGTGGAGGGGGCATGTTGCACTCCCTATAGAACTCGTCTGTCCAAGGGAGAATATGACAACAGCTATACCTGATTGGATACAGTCAACTTCGCTAATAACGACTGTTGTCGTGCACGTGCACGTGTCCCAGGTCGTCAGACTAACACACGGGTCGAGCGAGATCCCTCGTCACAAACAGTTTAGAAACACATGTCTTCGAACAAACAACAACTACCAAAACTCCATTGAAGCATCAAAAATTCAAAATCAAAGGAGAAAAAAGAACCAAGAACGGAGAGCTGGGGACGCACGTACCCGGCCCCGTACCGGGCGCACAGCCAAGGAGGATGACACCGTAGCGTCCCCACGCTCGACTGGCAAAGAAAACAGCAAGCAAAGAAATCTGACGAGTGCGAGCGCAGTTTCAACTTCCAGCATTTTGAATGACAAGCTGCAAGCGCGAAGCGAGACACGTGACCGAAAATAATGCATGATGTCATCAGTGCACACGCGGACATATGCAAAAAGGTCAAAAGCGAGTGCTGCAAGAAACAGCACAAATAAATAATAGTTCGGATGGCGAAGAGCTAGAAAGGCAGATTCCTAATCATCGAAGAACAATACATATTGTAGAGTTCCAACGCGACTGCCGGGAGATGCTGGCACCCACCAGACGGGTGGTTGCTGCCCCTGTCAGAGAAATAGAACGGAAACTGAGGCAGAGGAGCCACGTTGCAAACGGTGAAATGCGCAAGGTAAGAATATTCAAGCGGTGTCAACTTTACGACGTACTGAGTAATATATGGGTAGACAAAGACAAACACTAACAAATGGAGAACGTTCCAACAGAAGCCGTGAGTGAGAAGAGAGGTGAGAGAATGAGAGCCCTTTCCTGATCGGATCCGCAACAACTGTAGATATAACGACAATTCGCGAATAACGACAGAATTTCCATGCCCAGAGCAAAGTCCCATCCCACTGTAATACATATAATGAGACTTCGGGTATAACGACACTTCGCGAATAAGGACACCTTTTTAACGCCCCACCGAGTGTCGTTATAAGCGAAGTTGACTGTATTATAATTATTGCATTGTCGTACCTGCTTGCTTCTCATTCACAGCACCGTGGATAGTGTTGGCTACCACCACCAAGAGGAGAGGCAAGACGTGCAGCTATGGAGAACATAGTCATGGAAAGAAAACACAACAAATGACTATATGATTGTACGGTTTGCGTGGGAGTCAACCATACTGATTATTCCGCAGCCATGGATAGCTTTTTTTTTTTTAGAAGTGCCACCACCCTCAATGATCAAGGCTCTGCGCTGCTAAGAAGAACATAGTCATAATGGTGGTCTTCACAAAGCAGCCAAAAGCCTATCCAGCCGTGTGACTGATTGCAGCAAGCTTCAGCTGCTTATCACTCAGACCATGAGTACATGGAAACCAAGGGCATGTTCAATTGGTAGGATCGGGATCCCGATCCACTGGATACGCACCCTTTCAATTGGTCGAATCCGGATCCGGATCCTTCGGATTTGGATCCGGTCAACCCACCTCGGGGAGCAGGGCTGACCGGATCCAACGGATCCAAATGTGACCTTTGTGCGTATATGGCGGGTGAAAATCATTTTTGTACACATTGTGGTATGCACACGTGGATGGAGATAGAGCTTGTTGACTTTTTGTACGGTGCACGAGATGAGTATGACGTTCACCCTTTTGGGTGACTTGTGACCGCCATTGTCAACATGGCAACAGTCAAGGTCCAAAATAAAGTGTTCAGTTGAATCTGAAGGATCCGACGGATCTGAGATCTGGATCCCGATCCTTACCAATCGAACATGCCCCAAGAGTGTGTAGCTTTTGACTTTTCTGCACGGGTGTCTGGCACGTAAAAAAAATCCTGGGTCACATCATACTTGATGCAGATAAGCGACAGGAAGTGGCGTAGTGCGTACGACTGAGCTGCAGTTGTGCAGCACGAGGTCTGCTTGAATCCTGCTTGTGCGGCAATGTGCACACTACATCACTAAAATGACGTAATCCAGGAATTTCGCTGTCACGCCAACCCATCCATGCAAGCAGCACACTCTGGGTATCATGTACGTTTTCAGGCGTGTGCGCCGGTGCCCTTGAAGGGGGCTTGTTGGGGGCCTCCCCCGGGAAAATTTTCAAAAAATGAAGCAAAATCCTGCATTTTGAGCGAAAAAAGGGGGGTTCCGGGCACCCAGGAACCCATACGGTATCTTGGTGATGCTAACCACATACTGTTAGTACGGACACAGTGAAGAAGTGCGCAATATTGAATACAGGTGGAATCCTGATAATTCGAATACGGCTTAATTCGAACATACCGCTTAATTAGAAGTTTTTCCAGGACCGATTTCTATCAATACGATTCCCACATCTTTTGTTCTGATAATTCGAACCTCGAACTGGACATGTCGGTTAATTAGAAGTCCTACAGATTCCACTTACTGTAAGACATGTTATTATAACGAGTCGCAAATTTAACGATTGTCCAAAATTCATAGGTTAACGAGAAGATATGTTAACGATCTTGCAGTATTCTGCCATATCCACACACAGCATATATGAAGCAGTACGGCCTCAACGGATCTTATTATAACGAAGAAATGTCATCCGTTAAAACGTTAGATTTGCTTCCTCGTTATATATACATGTCTTACAGTACATAGAAAATGTGTGGGATTTGTGCTGATAATTTGAAGTTAGCAAAGTGTAATTCGAAGTTCACTGTACACTGTACTGGTCAGTTCAGTGTCCGTAAAATTTGTGGCTAAGGTCCATAGCGCAACTCTGCGTGACCATGAGAGCATTTTGACATACATATTAGGATTCATGTTTGGATAATTAGAATGTCCGGATAATTAGAAGTTTTTTGCTGGCATTTCGAGGTTCGAATTATCAGGATTTCACCTGTAATACAATCCATGCATGTGGTTGGTTGGACTGGCTCCACATGGCCGCACCAGTTCTATGAACCTAGGGATGTCGACACATGTACCGTAAAGTACCATTGATCCGCCCCCCATGCCATGTCGCTTCCCAGCTGGGTTTTCGGCAGGGGGCGGGAATTAGATCAAGGCTGTCAAGTGCAGTACGATGTACAACAATGTGGAGAACCAGACTCGATGTGCTGGTTTGTGCACATTTTCATCCTGCACTGGCACATATTGTGTACAGCAATGCATGGGTCGGTTCAACATCGTACTTTGTTGTATACGCAGAAGTCGCTTCACAGGTAGAAACTCGACAGGAGGCAGCAATTAGAGAGGGCCCGGGGCGGATCAACGGTACTTTACGGTACTCGTACCTGATAAGATTCATTTGCAGACATGTACGGGGCCAGTCTTTCTAGACCAGTCCACCCTATTTCAGAGTCATTTGCACATGTACTGTACATACACATACATGTGTGTATCTATCCCCCCCCCCCCCCACACACACACACACACACACACACACACACACACACATGCGTGTGCACACGAGTGCATTCAGGAAAAAGCAATGACTTAGAAAACTTCGAACTTGGATGGTGAGCCAATGTATTCAAGGATTTAAAAAAAGGAATTACATAAATTGTTATGAGTTATAACTAACTGTCCACCATAGTAAACAGGTCAGACAATCATGTACATGTACATCATAATAATATTGTTGTCGCACTAGCTGACTGTAATAGTCTGTATGATGTACTTTGGTGGACAGTTAGTCATAACTCATCACATTTTCTTTCCATTTTATCCATACGTATGCCTGGCTCACAGTACTCCGGGCCGATAATTCGGCCGATGCTCCGGCACCAACACCAACACCTACATGAAATCGGCCGACTGGGTCAGACCACCTATACACACACGGATTTGACGGAAACGTGTGCGACAACATCGTCCACACCAGGTGATTATCGTGCCGATCTTGAGGATTTTTCGTAAGATTCCATATCGGCCGACAATCCGGGTCTAGTGTGCACCAGGCATAAGGATATTGATCAGGAATGTTGTTCATGTGCTATGCCAGTCCATGGGCATGGATCTGAGAAAGACCAGCATACTACAGAATTATAATAGTATGACTGCACTCTCACTAGTCTCTCAGGTATTCACGGTATTGGTGTGTCTGTAATCTTACAGTTGACAGCCCGTAGACTAGTACTGTGATCTGGGTAGCAGGGGAACAGCAGATCAGCCGTCACGTCAGGACACGAGCCATGTAAGGACATGCAGTCTTGACCCGTCACAGCGGCAGCATGACACACTGCCACAGAACTAAGTGCCTAGTGCCAGTCGTGCCGCTTGATGTCCATGTCGTGTTCGCAGTTTATCGAATACACAACAGGACTGAGGTAGTAAAAGCAAAGTAACATTACTCGTTCGTTTTAGCCGGATTCGCGGCCGCATCACCTGACGAGTTTAGGAAGACATCAAGCAAATACATTCGCATCGATATCGGCGGGCCACCACTTCGCCCATAATATTTTATCCTCAGTGTCCGGCAAAATGCAGACCTCACAAGTGAGTCAGGGGATCAAAACAGTACTTTTACAACATGAAAGTATGCCAGCAAGCAGTGCAGTGCATGCTGGGAAGAACTCGCAACTCAGGACTACACACACCACACATAGTAATACATGAGTCATTTACCTTCATGAAGAGAGTGTCGGTTCTTCCGTGCATCGTCTTCACCGCCGACTCTTCATAATCATTATCATTGACTGTTTACTCCAGCAACAGTGCGAGCGAGACTGCTCGGTTCTTCTGGGCATGCAGCAGTTGAATATCCTGCCAAAGGAATTACTAGTAGTACCAGCCGCTGCATGGACAATGATAGACAATGTACCCCACCTAACACTTAACAGTTGTCAGCTGGCAAGACAGCAGGAACAGCAACTACTGCAGATACTGAGCAGACCGTGATTGCGTGAAGCACGAAAACTTCGAAAAAGCAGTCGGAACCGTGTCTGTCAGGACAATGATATCCGGTACCCTACGTTCTACAGACAGTCCTGCCAAGAGTAGATAAACAGTTGTTTATCTTTCTACTCTTGTTACTAATGTAACAGACGTCTACGACCTGTGTCATGCCACACGACATGTGAACAACACCTTTTCGCTCTGATCTGAAGACTGACCACACACGTACACACTTCCTGCTGACAGTTCGGCAGAGCGCAACGGTGCCCGGGTGGTATTTTCAACGGCCGAATTACCTTTTTCTAATCTTCACAATGGGCATTTCGTTGCATCGGCATCCGTTTTCGAATGGTTGGCTCAAAACTACATGTCTGATTGTAAGTGACTGGTTGTACGTGATTGTAACTATTACTACTTGGCTGGTTGTAAGTGGTTCGCACAGTGACTACCGGTATCTTGGGCTTTCTATTGACGTTTTTGTCAAGTCTAGTTGTAGTAAAATCCCAAAAGAGCGCCCCTACGTAGCTACATTGTACCTCAGCTCAGCTCCGCAACCATTCGAGTACTGAGTAGATCCATTTGGGGAGGGGCGGTTGGGCGAGTCCTCCTTGCGCTGAATTGCCGCATTTACTACATGAAAGAGTACTCACGTTCACCCTACGAAATTATTATTATTATTATTTAAATTTTGAAAAGGGCAATCCCCACAGGCCTAAGCCTTTTTACAGGGTACCCTATGTGATCACGTACAGATTTGCGGAATAGTGAAAGCGAGGGGCAAGAGCGAATGTCAGCTGGAAGAGAATTCCAGCGGTCAGAAGCCAGAAAGCTCAAAGCGAATAAGCCATAACGATTGCGTGCTTTACTTGTAGGCAGAGCAAGTGAATCTATGGACTGGGAACGTGTACGGGCAGCTGTGTGTGTTGCGGCAGAACGAAGGCAGAAGCAATCAGAGATAAGAGCAGAGTGCAAAAAAGAAATCTGTGCGTGCGTCTCGTGCACCGACAGATCAAACGACGAAAGTACTACGACTCCCAGGTCTTGACCTCTGCAGAGGTCAAGACCTGGGAGTCGTAATACTTTCGTCGTTTTGTGCGATTCCTGGTCAAGAGGGGGAACTGTTGCGTACATTTCCAACCGGGTCGAGGCTGCAGTATAGTAGACGTCTATGGCCTTATCACACTTGACGTACGCCACACGTTTCAAGCATTGCTGTCTGGCTATGACCATATCTCCCTCCTCAACTAGCTCTCCGATGTTGTGCCTACCATGTCTTCTTCACAGATTCTGCCTGAACAGATGCTCACTCCCCAACGCATTCACGCTGCACAACTTTTCACTACTTTCACTTTAGCTCATACGTGTACATGTACATCCTTCAAAGCGGTGAACCCCTTGCATGATAGGCGACAAGCCTCTGGGTCATCCTAATAAAGATATTATTATTACCGTATATTCTCTATTATAAGCGCAGGTCTCCATGGGGCTGTTAAGTGTGACGTCACGGCCCCTTCGATACGCATAGCAACGGAGAGCACTGGGGACAAACAAAAGTCGCGTCCTCTGGATGGAACCAGTTGTCAAAGGCAACAGCATCTAAATGACTGGAGAGAGAGCAGTTTTTCTTTGCTTTTTCTTCAAGCGATTGTTGTCGCTCTTTACTCCTTGTTCTTTCCTCTACAAATCTCCTGTAGTCGTCGAGGGCCTTCATAATGGCTGTGAAATTGGCTGCCCACTGTAAAACTCCGTGTTTGAGAGTCCTTTGAAGATTCTTCCCGTCCTGATGGATCAAAGTACGAGCGCTCCCTGTGGATTCGATTATAATAATTATTATGTAGGTGAGTTGTTCAAGAAATCAGTGTCTTCTTTCTGTCTCTGCCCTCACGCTGGCACAATAATATCAGCCTCTATATCCATGACAGCTCGCACCTCCCGTAAACTGCATGACTTAGATATATTCTCGCCCTCCGTGGTGATTGAAGACCCATGGAAGAAGTTATTATGTTCAGAATGATGTCCTGAGAATATATTAAAATAAAATAATTCTAGGAAATTGTTACAGGGTATTTTGGAAGGATGGAGAGAGAGAGAGAGAGAGAGAGAGAGAGAGAGAGAGCAGTGAAGTGTTTGTCTCACTGTAATTACTCCAGATTATTGAATGGTGTATGATCTACTCGATATTTTCCGCAATGGGTTTTCCTGATTTGCGGGATCTCTTCTTTTGCTGTTTGCGTGTTTACAGGAAGAGACTGTCTGGTGTATCTGCACCACATCCTGGGGACATGAAGTCAGAGGCAGGGTCGTCCAGTGATGCAACACTGCCGTTCTATGTGCAACGTCACCGCTAATTCCCCCGGCGAAAACACAAAAAGACAAACACGTCACGAGACTACAGTATTGACCGTTCTGGTAATGAATCGCGACTGCTCGGACAGTCGATAATCAAAACACAGAGCACCAGCATGATGTTTTGATATTGGGAACCACACACCAGCTCAATTCTCAAGCCCAAAAATTGATGAATACAAAACACAGAGCGACGCAACAAGAGATCATCCGGCAACCAAACCAACCTGGGTCTAATGCACTGAATAGTCTTGAAATACGCAGGCCACACAAAGCAGTGCAAGCACATACTGTTACAAGGTACATGCGTTGCAGAACAAAGTGTCACCAAAGATACACAGGGCTATAGCTGCACACTCATGCATGTGCTCGCTCAGCCCAAGAACACGCATGATGATAGAAATAATCCGGGGGAAACACGCTAGCACCGAAGTAAGCATCAAGACGTAAATAGTCATCACCACAAGCCCATAGCCCTAAGGTCGTCGGGGCGTCACAGAGCAAGTATGAACAAGTGAGCGCCATAAAAATCGATCGCGTGCAGCAGCGAGCAGGGACTGCACGTCAAGTGCAGTCCATGAAATAATATTATCAAGCCATGACATTCTGGGCCTGCCTCGGCAACGACCTCCAGCAACACAACCCTGAAGAACAGTCAATGACAAACAGCCGGAACGAACAATATGACCAAAAAATTGCAATTTCCTTTTACGAACAGAAACAATAAGTGGGACTTGTTTGTGAATACTATTTATTTCCTCTCTAACAGACACATTCGTCCGTAAATAGTGCAGCTCTGAAAGAGTAAAAAATTACATTGACATGTACATTGGTGTGCCGAGTAGTATCGTCCTTGATTACCCATCCAACCAAGACGTTATCAGGTCCCAGACGCCGAGATCGCACGCCGAATGTGAAGTGCATCTAGCCTTGAACCTGTTGCACAAGGCACACACATATGACAAAAATGACATCCACTCCGATTATTTCCAGAGGCCAATCATAACAGAACACAGAAATGAAACCACGGGCTCAACAAAGTACATGTAAACGCAAAGGAAATTAGTTAAAATAATCCATGAAGTGCTATTTTAATTCCAGCGCTGACTGCAGTGTGGCGTCGTGGCCCGATACCCGCTGAGCATAGACACAAACTCCATTTCACAGGGGCAAGACATACTATTTTGGAATAAAGTCATAAAGTACAGCACTCTAATGACATAACGGACAACTCGTGCAAATGCGTGGTCTGTTCATCCGGCCAACTCGGCCACGCATGAGAGTGTGTGCATGTACGCGCGCACGCAAGCGCGCGCGTGCACACACACCATGTGTTTGGTGCGTATGGCGTACCTGTTGCGGAGATATGAAGATGGAATCATCAGTATCATGATGTTATGTACAGTGTATGTTTGAGTGTAAAGTAAATTTTATTTTATTACACATTTCTTCGACACAACTTACTCCACATCTTCGCATTTCTCATAATCCATCCACCTACACTCCGTCTCAGTTGAGGAAAACTCTCCCAGGTACAGGTATACAATAGTCACCACAGCCATGTGATGACATTGGGATGGGTCCCAAGCACGATTGCACTCTCCAGTTACAATATAATTTATTTGTCCAGATTATCTGTGCAGACAAAATGCAATGCATAGCGGCAATCGATGGATGAAGAGAGAGAGAGTTTGTAAATACACATATCTGTCCACTTGTTCAGGAGCTTACCTTTTGGAGTTCCCATCGTTTACACGATCTCTTATGCTGTCTTGCACCTTGGCTTTGTTGACCATGGATACGCCATCCCAGAAGACATTCTACAGGAGCTACTAATGCAGAGCGTTTTTCACGCTCGATCTCGGCGATCTACCTCGTCACGCCAATAAAATCCTCCGTGACACTGGCTACAGTCACAAGAGACGTCTCAGTAAGGTAATGAGCACGAAAACACCGTCGAGATCAAGGACAAAGAGAAAACAAAACACTCACTGAAAACAGCAAAGAAGAAACGAAGAAATGTACACGATTCCTATATGTTGCCACTGACAACTGGTTCGGTGGAGACGACGCTACTTTTGTTTGTCCCCAGTGGGATCGTTGCTATGCGTATCGAAGGAACTGTGACGTCATCACTTAACAGCCCCATTACAAGCACAGTCTCTAATAAAATAAAACTAGCACACTGTGAGCACCTTTCGAAACATTATAAGCACGGTCTCTATTATTAGCACGGTCTTGGTGGAATCAATGCGGCATGCGTGATATCTAGCATGTATTTCTTCTTGCCCTGTATGGATGTATTGGTTGAAAAAATATAAGCACGGTCTCCAATATAAGCGCGGTCTCCAATATAAGCACGGGGTAGAGGGGTGTTGAAAAAATATAAGCACGGCGCTTATAATAGAGAATATACGGTATTATCATCAATAATTATGTTCTTGTCCTCTATCCTAGTCCAAATCCTGCCTTGCCCATGCATGACTCTCATGAAATGCCCGTACTAAATAGTCTATAGAACAAGAATATTGGATATCATACTTATTATTATTATTATTATTATTATTTGGAAAGGATTGGGAGAACTTCAAATTCAAATGATCAGTCGGGGAAGTGAACTGCCTGAAAAGAGAAAAAAAACGCCAGACCCACCAGGACTCGAACCTGGGACCCTGCTTGTCATGAGCAATGCTCTAACCACTGAGCTATGGGACCAGGCTGAACCTAGAAGGCGCTGACAAGTTTTTCACTCCAAAGGCAGCTCACAACACGTGCCACACATACTGATGGCACTTGGGTCTTTTTCCCTCCCCCAGGGGACCAACCACGGTCAGTTTCTGGAAACTACCAGACTGATCCTTTGAACATGAAGTTCTCCCAATCCTTTCCAAATTTAATCACTTTCTTTCACCTCTGGTAGTTTCCAGAAACTGACCGTGGTTGGTCCCCTGGGGGAGGGAAAAAGACCCAAGTGC